TGTGAACTATAATTTTAGTTGGTAAACAATTTTGTTATATGAAATAATTTTTTATTATAATTCTATTAAATTTTAATATTTTTATTTTAGTGACCCAAATCTCATCTACCAAATTGGTCATATGAAATGAATTTTTTGGTCGGCGTATGTATTTTCCGCAACCAATTCTTTTGGTAGCATTTAACTTTTATAACCATAAGAATTAGTCGTAAAGGGTATGGTTGGTCACCATTCATATATTTTACGACCAATTATTATGGTTGTGTTAAATTTTTAGAACTAATAAAATTAGTTACCTAAAATAATATGATTGGTCGTCATATGGATTTTTAACGACCAAATTTTATGGTTGCATAACAATTCAATAACTATAATTGGTTGAGATATGTGTATTTCACGACCAATTGTTATGGTTGTGTTAAACTTTTATAACAAATATAATTAGTCGTCTAAAATAATATAATTGGTCGGGATATGTGTTTTTCACGACCAAATTTCATGGTTGTTTTTAATTTTCGTAACTTAAACAATTGGTTGTTGTAATGATATAATTGGTTGACATATGTTAATTTCCCAACCAAATTGAATGGTCACCTATAAAACGTACATAAATTCTATTTGCGACAAAAAAAATAGGTTACTAATAGCCACATCAAATTGGTTGTCATTTTTATTTTTCGCGACCAATCAATTATATTTCCCAACCATTAAGTTGAACTATGACAACCAAATTAAAATGGTCGCGAAAAAGTAAGGGTTTTTTACCATTGGCGAATTTGGTTGCGAAAGCTTTCTTTTTTGCTACCAATCTACATTTTGGTTGCGCTAGGAATTAGTAACGCGGCTATAGCGACCAATGCTGCTACCAAAATATTTTAGTCGCAAAAAGCTATTTATAACCAATTTTTGACCTTTAGGAACCAATTGTTTTGGTTGCAAAAAGCCATTTTTCTTGTAGTGACAACACGATTTATCTTGATTTAGTTTGGTAATCCTCCAGCCTTTTAATTTTTCCTCTTTCACGTTGTTATGATTAGGACTGATAGTTTGGTACCTGTATTTGGAATAACCGAATACCGTTTTGAATTTGTTTATATTTGGTATTACCGAATACACGTATAATATATTGGGATTGAGATTGAGATTGAATTTCAATTGTTATTCAGTATTAGGGATTACGGGATTGAGATCGGTATATACCGAAATACCGATCAATATCGAAATATAAGCTAGTATATATTTTAACCTCTCAACTAGACTCTCTCATTAACTACTACACGACCCTCAACCACCAAGAGTTTCATTTAATTATACATAGATCATTTCATCACTATTTAACAACTTAGAAGTCCCCATTCAACTCAAATTTGACTTTTCAATTCAAGTCACTCTCGTTTCTCACCTAGTATCTCTTGTTATTTTCATAATACCAAAAAACAAACACTAGTATTAGTCGTCTCTCAACCTCCAATTCGTTAAATTAAAGACTACCAATTACAAGAACGTGAGATGTCACATCTCCTCCATTCTCCTTATCTAAATCCTATCTCTAGAAAAACTCAAGACTCTTTGCTTAGTCTCTTTGCCCTAAATTAAACAATAAAATCTAATTTATATATTTAATTGCAAAGGTAATTAATTTCGTATTCGAAAATACCGATTGGGATACCGAAGTACCGATTGGGATCCAAAATATTTAGGGATTGGGATTGGGATACCGAAATTATTTAGGGATTGAGATTGAGATTGAGTTTAGCATATAATTCGGTATTCAGGATTTTGATATTTGGTATTGGGATACCGATACCGTACCGATTTCCACCCCTAGTTATGATTCATAAATGTGACTTATTTTGGGTTGCTATTATTTGTAAACAAACCCTGTATCATGATTCATGATCGTCAGTCTGAAAAAACTTCCAACAAAATCAAAATTGATAGGCAATTTTAAGCGTTATATATACGAAGTTACAAACGGTGGAACCTTTCGGCATAAAATATCTTATTGCTAATTTCTTTTTATTACAATCTCATCCGGTACGGTTTGACAATCCTTGTGAAACACCATTACATGAGAAATGATGTGATGATTTGGTATTAACTTCTCCAGGGATAATTTGGTAAATCCAGGAGGCCCACCGTTACATGAGAAATGATGTGATGAAGACGCCAACGGGTGGCAGCCATGCATGCAGACAAAGTGGGCACTGGGACGTGCTCAAAGATGAATTCTTATATTTCCCATAAGAATAACGGGTGTTGGACCCGTAAATGTGACAGAGCCCGACTCGAACGACAACGATGATCCACAAGCGCGTATGGGCCCATCCTCACAAAACACCACAAAGGCCCAATAGAAGTCCAAGAAGTGTGACAAGGCTTCACCTATAAATATGCTATTAGGTCTTCAAAGTAAGGGATCTCTCCTTCTCTTCCACTCATTTTGACATATCATTTATCTCTCTACAATATCTCTTTCTATCTAGTTCTTCCTACTTTCTATCACAATACTAATGTTGATCATCGGAGTGTAGATACCGGGGGCCGTCCCCGCCCTTTCACAGATCTGGCATCCTACCTGTTTCGTGGCTGAAACAACGGGCTAAAAGCAATCCAAAATACATATGTACATATATTGAAATGTTAGCATAGAAATGCTCTCACATATATGGAGTATTCCAATTTATTTAGTGTGATATTCGAGGTAGTACGATTAATATTATGATCTACATGAGTATTTCTCGTATATAATCAACAAAAACAAGTTCACTCAGCTTGATTCGTAGATACCAAACTTGATTTGGTATTGGATGGTATGACTCTTCATGAATCGAACAAGGCCTAATAAAATTTAATTTTATGGGCATGCTCTTACAAACAACATTTCATTCAGGTAAGTATATTTTAGTCATGACAATATGCCACCACCACAATATTTTCGTTGGGTTGATTGTATCAAGGATATTGATTAAAATCTAAAAAAAATGTATTTACTTGTAAGTAATGTTGGGAATATAGAGCAGACCATACAAAAAATTATTATATTCCAAACTGGACTATAGTGTCTGAACTAAAATATTAGTTTTAACATCTCTAATTAGCCACATATAATATTTGTTTCTGTATCTGCTTCTATAGAGCTATAGCAACCGCATTACTTGAGACAAATGTGTTATCTGCATCTAAAGTTATATAGAGGCAAATAAGTGCCTTTTAGATACATATTTTCTTTGTCTCTATAGCCTATTTTCTTGTAGTGTATAGAATCAACAAATAAGTTCACTCAACTTGATTGGTAGATACGAAACTTGATTTTGTATTGGATGGTATGACTCTTCATGAATCGAACAAGGTCTAATAAGATTTAATTTTATGGGCAGGCTCTTAAACACAACATTTCATTTAGGTAAGTATATTTAGTCATGACAATAGGCTACCACCACAATATTTTCGTTGGGTTGATTGTATCAAGGATATTGATTAAAATCTAAAAAGTGTATTTACTTGTAAGTAATGTTGGGAATATAGAGCAGACCATAAGAAAAATTATATTTCAAATTGGACTATAGTATCTGAACTATATCAGTCACAGACTGTAAAGTAATGTTTGATATATGATCTATCTAGTTCGGCCCGTACCAGACCTTTAGAACAAATCATACTGCACAAATATGTTCTTATATAAGATAGCATGATATTTGATATGTTCTCTGAACTATAAATCGAATATATGATTTTCTTTATAAAAAACAACGTAAGACAATAGAAGGCAGGCTCGGATGTGATCAAACTAATTTGTCGAGTTGAGTAACAATGGAACTACTACATATACTTTTTGAGATGACAATTATATACAATCAATGTGCATATTAGTTAAAATTCAATAATCTCATTGTCATCAATACCAATTATTACCAATATTGATACTTTAGTAATTAATATAAATTGGAAATTACAGGTTACCTAGAATGCAAATTGTGGTCTTCCCGAATAAAAAAAACAGCTATTTGAATTTTGATGTCGAAATAACATGTGCCAAAAAAAATAGTTTAGTATTTCTTTTTATTTAAGAAAAATAAAATTAAGTGGGTATGGCGTCACATATTATTGGGATTTGGCCATTTGAGACAGCACTTCGTCTCTTGCTCTCCACACTCTCAGATCCCAAATTTGTTTAATGAGTGCTTGATTAATTAATTAATAAGCTCCATTAACTGGGAAATTAAAGTAATTAGTGTTGGTGCTCAAATAATTAAGTGGAAAGGTATCACCGCTAGTTTTCAACTCTGAAGATCCCAACAGATTTGAATCTCAAAGTGCAATTCGATCCTCCTTCCTCCGCATATCATCTTCAGTAGCATCTCAAATAATTAAGGTGACATAAATTGATAGTAGCTTAATTCTCAAATAATTAAGGTGACATCTCAGGAAGTTTGCCTAGAAGAAGCCATTCTTGAAAAGAGTGCATAATAGCTCACTGATCGAGCGCTCTTGCGCCGAAGATGAATGAAGCTAAGCGATCTACCACAACCGGCATATATATAAAAATGCATTGGTAGGGGAGCGTGCTACCTTAGATGTAATATTTACTTGTAATCTACTAATTTCCTTGCCTGATGACGAGAAATCTAGGGAGAACTTCTATATGAATCTCCAAAACTGAATTTGGTTTGGATTCTAACATGATTGGGCCACCCAAGTCTCGTTTCCCATTTTGTAATGGATCCAACAACTCAAAAGCTATAAAACCCAAGGAGCCCACGAGTACAGGAGTCAGAGAGTTCGCATCTTCACTTTCTCATAGGCCCATTATCTCTCCGGCCCAAAATTAGCAACTCCAATCTAAAACTACAACCAAAAGGATGCGTGTCAAATCCCAAACTATTTTCTAGGTTTTGTAGGTCTGAATTTTTTACTTACAAAATTTATCACTTAGTAAAAAAAACTGTCACTAAAGTTTAAATTTTACAATAAAACACGTTTGAACGTATAACAAATCAAATCAGTCATTCCGTCTATTTCCATCCGAAAGTGTGTGAACTTTTGTTCCGTCAGCACGCCACGTTGATGATCACCATCAGCTCATCCGCAGTCTCATCTCAGCAACTCCTGGATGGTGGCCCAAAAGATCCACCATCAGTCTCCACAGCGACATCAACCTCTGCTGTCGATCATCAACACTCAAGCTTCTTCCCCATATCATACAATTTAATGGCGGCCTGTGAATAGCAGCTGCTGCCATGGAAGAACAGAACACGAAGGTGCTGCATTCGCCGAGGTGGAAAGACTCGTCCGCCTTCTTCCCGTCTCCTCTCTTGTTGGAGTAATTAGGATAATCTTCCGGCCTGAAATCGACTGCACAAACGAAGGTCAAGAAGCATTGGAAAGCAAGCTCCACAATGTTCCAGTCGCAGTATGGCTTTGTGGTCTTGTGGGAGACGTGTACTTCTCCCCATGGTCGTCGTAGCATTGCTGATGCGTTCCTGAAGAAACCCTGAACGAGCTCCGCGTGCTTACTGCAAATGTAGGCAGCTTAGTACGGAACCGGAAATCGACAATGTAGGAAAGCAAACGGTAATACGAATTGACATGATTTACTAATACAATGTGTGTTAACTCATCCATGAGCTATTGAGACCAGTTTCAGTGTTTCACCATACTCGCGAGTAGATACAAATTACTTTAATTGAGAAGGTATATATAGCAAATTCTCCCGCGGCCTAACCCGAACCCCCCTTGGGAGACCACTTTACGCCTGGCGCTTCGCCTCTAGACTGCGACACGCTAACCGGACAACAAAACCTCGTGACTTTCGGTCGACAAACAGATAATTCAAATTCAAGTCATAACAACAGCATTCATAATTTTGGTAATGATCATTCGAGTTCAGATGGGGAGGAAGGAGGTAAAGTTTCGAGCTTTTGAATATATACCTGATGAGTTTGGGACTGTCTTCCTTGCCGTGGAATCCTGCGTGTGGGAAGTTGAAGATGATGCGGTCGAATCTGTGCATTTTCAACAGTGGATGATCCATCATCTTGGTTGCATCCACTCCATGGAACACATGAGCTCCGAGTTTTCTCAGCAATGCTAGGTTATATCCTGCGTTCTTGTATTTCTTCATCAAGTCGTCTTGATCACCCAAATTCATCAAGATTGATCGCAGAAACGGTTAGTGACGGGCGAATCATATTCCCAAACAACATACACATCTGCTATAATAGATCGAGAAATGGACAACACAAGAAATAAAGAACAGTGATTCGCTAATACGATATGTGTGTTAGTGGTCATGGGCAATAGGGATCAGTTTCTCTAGATGGACTAAACCTAATCCAATTCGGAAAGAGAAGAAAAAAAAAATGTTACAGAACATAACCAAAACAGTTAAACAAATGTGTATAACCCCAAATCAGACGCTTTCTTACCATAGCAAGAGAATCAACATGCATCACACTGCTAGGTTTATCACAATTCGCAAGCGAAATAGCAAGAATCCAATAACGTGAACTGATTTACATAAACAGCAGCAGAGCAGAACCCATAAATGGGAACTGCTTGGATCCAATTCAACTGCACAGTTTAGTTACCGCGGGTGTCGAGAGAAGTAGCGACGATGTTGGAGGCAGAGCCGAAGGAGCGAGCCAGAGACAGAGAGAAGGAGAAGTCTCCTTCTCCGACCAGCAATATGACATGATCCGGCGAATAGTGAGTAGTTGCCCGCCGGAGTAATCTGTCTTCTCCATACGCCATCGTTGTGTTTCTTCGAAAGAGGGAAAAACAGAGACTCTGGTCTGTTTATGGCGGAGAACTTTCTTCTAGTAAGCAAGCGGCTCTTCAGTTTCCTTTCTCGTTTTTTGTACGTGGTGTGCCCTTCAGCAGAGCAGAAAACTTCCTCATTTGCCCACTGAGAGTTCAAATTTAAATTTTTAATTTTGATAACGAATCAACTTTGATTTGGTGAGTGAGCTATGCAACTGCATGAGTTCCCCTGTATATTTTAGCAATTTTCTATCTATTTCTGTTTTTTTTTACCAGCAATTGGATGGGCATTTTAATATTACCGTTAACATATCGCAAAAAGTTAATACACCGTATAAATACCTTGATAGTTTATCGATTTGTATATCGCCAATTTCATTTCACGGAAATTTACCACGTTTCGGTTTCGACTTTGTGATCTCGAAACATTTCTCGTTTTGACGTTTCTCCCGTCATTTCTCCAGTCTTTTCACTTTATATCGTCCTTTTTCTCCGGTTACTACTTTCTCATTTTGTTATATGCATCCTCAACAACCGTTCCACTAATCTGTATAGCGTGTTTGCCCTAGTTTTCAGATTTTCCACAACCGTCCTGTTATTCATACAGTAGCTCTTCTACTCCCTCCCAAATTGTCACCCACGATTTTTGACACTACAACATGTAACTCTTGTTGTTGTAGCAACAATTGAAGTTGTAGGTAAATGCCTCACCTTTTATTACTAAAGAATTTAACCATGACAAAAAAATGGCGCAACTAAAAGTTAGCTATATATTTTTAACTTGCTACAATTAGTGTCCTACATTTAGAATTTCACCTCTCATCCACAACTAGAATTAATCGATATTGTCGATGATGAAAATTCAACATTATATTATAAATAAGTTCAATTTAATGCAAGGAAAAATGAGGATACCAAAAAGACACTTTTGATTTTGTATCTTTCTTTTCTTTACAAACAAACAAAAAAGGGGACTAACTTTCATAACATTACACAAACAAATCTAAATGATCAATCAACACACCTATATTGGATTCCTTTTCCCTCACAGAACAAGCAACCCAAATTCACTTCTCAAACACCAGACACCAACCCTGTATTGGCTCTCCACTCCCACGACAAAAATGGACTTATACACATGAACATTTCTCTCAATATATGACCATGGGGCTGGGATTGCTGAGACTTCAGGAAACCACATCAAAAATCAAAACTTGATTTTGGCTGGTGTTTACCCTAGCAACGCAAACTAATCTCCTCTTCCTCATTCCAGTACTAAGATTGTTGCTCCACACGGCTTTTCAAACCGAATCTTAAGCACTTGCTCTGCTTGGACTCCATAGCAGATTCGCAACTGGCTTGCTTCATTGGTTTCGTTATGGCGATCTTCTCCATCGCGTTAATGAACTTCTTCAAGTGCTTGATATACTCAGGGTACGTCTCAAGGTTGCAGTGGCCGCCACCCTTGACCCACAAAGGGTCGTATTTGTCCTTCGCGAGTTCCCACAGGCGCTTCCCGTGAGACCAATCGACAATCTCATCACTCGTGCCCTGAAAGATTGATTGATTGTAGAGATATAAGATGCTATCCTTGACAAATATCTCAAGAACAGAGGGAGTTCAACAATTCAAATGCCTGGAAGCAATGTGATCCTATTCCTATGTATATAGCAAGGTGGTCCTATTCCTATTGCATAAACGGTCACTTAACTTTGGAAACATTAACAGATCAACCACTAAACTTTATGTTAGTTGACGAGGTGATATGGACAGTTTAGGAGGTAGATGAACACAATGACCATAATGTTAGTTATGCCAAACGTCAATGACATGTTAGTTGAAATCAAAGTTCAATGACCATTTATGGATTGACCTTTCTGGATTATGTGCATATGAATCCAAACCTTGTGAAGGGATTTCCAAGGCATTATACATAAGAACCTAAGCCTCCAAGGCATTCCACACAGTTGGAAACATAGTGAAAGGAGAGAAAAACAACTCACATGAATGACAAGAACAGGACAGCTGACATGTCGAATCTTGTCAATGTTCTGCAGAAACAATGTCCAAAAAGACACACCCTTCATCAGTTCCCACTCCAAAATAACTAACAAACGCGAAGCTCGCTTTGCTCACCTTGAAGATGTCGAAGGGAAGCGTCACCTTGACAGGGTACAACACCCGGATACCCGAAAGGATCGCGCTGTGAAGCACGATGCCTCTCAAGTCACGCAATCGAGAACCCAAATGAAGCGTCGGGCCACTGCCAACAGACTGTCCGTAGAGTATCAATTCCTCCTGCTTCACCCCATATTCATCCTTCAAGCAGTTGTACACTGCTTCTATGTCATAGTATGTGTTCAACTCGGAGGGCTATAAACAATGCAGCAAAACAACTCCAATCAGAAACCATTTCGTCCCTGATCATAAATCATCAAAACATAAAGTTGAGAACTTTTGACATGGTTTTGAAATTCTTTTGCTCTATTTACCTTCCCAGAGGATGCTCCATACCCTGAATAGTCATAGCTGCATAGAGAAACAACAAAGAACGATGGTCATTACAATGAAGTACCAACCTTTGAACATCTACCAATACAATAAAAGCATTACCAAAATCCCCCAAAACCAGAAACAACTCTAATTTCCACAAGAATCCACAAAAAAAGCCAGAAACTTTCATCAAATCCATTCTTAAACATCTCCTAATACCTTGAGTTATTGGTACCACCTGGTTTTCTTTTCAATGGTTGATTTGAAGCTCAAAATAGGGTGAATTTGCACAAATGAACAGAACATTAGAACAATAAAAAAAACCAGAGCTTATACCACATGATGTTGACTCGGAGATGAGCCCTGAGCTCGATGAAGAGCTCATGCATTTGGCCGAGGTCGGCGGCGTTGCCATGGGAATAGAGCATGGTGAATCTGGCAAAAGGGTGCTTCCAGAACATTGCCACAACTTTGTTACCAGCTTTGGTATCTAACGTATGAACATCCATGTTCTTGTCCGCCGTGACACCTGGCACCACCAGCCTCCCTTCTTCCTCCTCCAACACGTCGTACGTCGGCGGGTCCGGCGGGAAGAAGGCGAATTTCGACGCCACGTTGGAAGTCACATTCCCCATTTTTTTCTCTTCCTTCCCAAAAAAAAACCCAGAAACAAAAAAAAAAAAAAACAGAAACCAAACCCGAAATTCAGCTCAAAGCTGAAAGCTTTTCACCTCCTCCTAGGAACCCAGTTGGGGATTTATGGCGGGGGATGACAATGAAATGGTTAATTAATGGCGGGGAGGTCTTTTCCACTCCTGATTAATTTAATGCATTTGAGAGAGGGAGAGATTTGTGAAGTTGGGGTTTTCAATTTCTCATGGGCTAATGTGAAGGGATCCAATCTAAGAGGGAGAGCTGCCGGCGGTGGAGGTGGAGACGGTGGTTGCGGCGGAGATAATGGTGGCGGTGGCGGAAGGGAGAAGGAGGGGACAGAAACCCAGATGAGGAAGAACAGATTGGATCATAATTAGAGGACATAACAAAGGGAGAGAACAGGGGGAGAGACGATCAATAAATTACAACTCTTTCCTCTTTGGCTTTTTCTTTTGGTCATTGGGAAGATGGAAGAAGAAAGAAAGAAGAAGGATGATGACTGGATCTCTTATTCTTCCAAGGAAGAATTACTTTTATTATTATTTAAATTGGCTATTTTTATGATAATAATCCAGCTATATTATATGTGGGGATTAGGGATACCATACCACAGTGAAGTACAGAAACCAAGGTTGTCAACCGCGGGTTGACCCGGACTCGATTGAGCTAGTGGGTCAAGGGTTAATGGGTCACCCGGTTTAGCCCAGAAATATGGAAAGCGTCATTATATTGTACTTATCCTGATAAATTATATCAAATCTCATCTAACATATGAGTTATAACATATAATATTACACCAAAATAACATTTCGTACTTAGATTCAACATATAGTGAAAATTCACACACACTTATATAACATTAATATTCAAATGTTCAATTTAGGATTCCAAAAATTGAGTTAGGCGAAAAGAAAAATCGGAAAATAGGCGCATTTCGCAAAACAAAGAAAAAATTACACAATTTGACCTCCAACCCGATACCTTATAGCGGTCGACCCGACGAGTGCATGCAGCCCGTTTTTCTCATCGGGTCAGGGTCAAAGTTGGTCGACCCGCGGGTTGACAACCTTGACAAAAACTAAAGATTACAAGAGAGATCAAATTTAAAGAAATAATGGACGGCTGAGATCTGGTCAAAGGCTGCCTGCCTGCCTGCTGGGGTAGAGAGAGAGAGATTGAGTCAAGATTGTCAGAGTCAAAACATTCTCTAATCATTTTCTCGCTTTGGTTTGGTCAGGTGAAAGAATCTGTTGGCAAATCAATTCAATAGAAAACTAAAATTGCAGGAGACAAAGCTTATGCCACCTGAATCCAAGGTTGATGCTTTTCTTCTTTATGGAAGAAATTGGGCTGACCAACAAGAATTTGGGTTGTAGTATATACTATATAGCCTAACAAGTCAATCCCTTTACCTATCAACATATTGTTCATTTTGAGTATAGTTTTGGCATGATTTTTCTTTTAAGTACATTATGATTACTTCTCATGAAGCTAATAATTTATGCACTGCGTCATCTTAAGCACGGTTAAAATTTAGAGTTCTTATAAAAACTCATTTATTTCATCTCAAAATTCATGTTATCAAGAAGAAATGGTCACTGATGATTTAGGAGAAAGAGAGGAGTGGGAGCATGGGAGGGAAGGGGAATCTATATGGTCCTCCATCACCAATCACCATAAAAGCATTGAAAATGAAATGTTGGGTTGTCACCATAAATGAACTAAAATGGAAACGAAAGAGATTGAATTTCAAGTTATGTGCATGATACAAGACTAAAAGAGTCTATTGAGGTTATAATTATAATTTCATTTATGAGTTTATTTTGTCGACAAACATCGACCATTTGAGTGATCAGAACAAAAAAAATCGAGTTTCAAACTATGTGCATGATAAAAGACTAAAGAGTATCCAGATGTTATGATCATTGTTAGATTTAAGAGTTCACTTCCTTGATAAACTTCAATCTTAGTGATGAGACCCAACATGTAAGCAAATTCATGGAACGCAAAACTTGATCCAACTTAGAACTCATAATTTGCCTACGGAGTGTGTCATTTGTTTCTTACAAATTTTTCATGCAAGTACATTGTGAAATTGTGTGATATAATAATTTTTTATTGGGAGGAATGTCATAATAGTTTTTGTTGTAGGGCTTGATTTGACTACAAAAGGATAACATGGCTCGGTTAAAGAAAAAAGTACTCTTCAAAAGACACAAGAAAGCTCTTTAGTGAGAAAAAGAAAAGAAGGATGGCATAGCATAGCATCATAATGAACATCCATAATACATTCAAAATTTACTTTAGCAACCCATCCTATCAAAAGAAAGACATGCCGAATAAATTTTAAACAATTTCGTATATGTTAATATCTTGCTAGTCTACATCGGATAGGAGCATAATATGAATTAAACTCTCGGTAATCTCACATAATTTTTCAATGTACATCATGGATTCACATCATAACTCGATACTTTGATGACCCTGCAAAATAAGTCCACCATTAAAAAAATTCTGTCTCGAGTATTATTTAGGCTTGTGAATCTTGAATTCTCTATGTCAATTTGAGACTCTTTAAATTGAATTTAGCTTCAATCCACTCAGTTTTAGTGTATATTCTTGGGAATGTATTACCTTTATAATCTTGAATCATATCAAGTTTTCTTATTTCTTAGCAGGCTGACTTTTAGTGTTCTTGCGCCATCACCCTCCATGATCAAATCACATTAACGTGCATCGCACCAATGTATGTTGTCAACTACAGAGACAATACCGATGATTGACAGCTCACCTTCTCACTACTCTGGGTTTCATAATATATCTACCTTACGAAAAACAACAATAAGGACACCCTCTAATTGTTGATACAAGTCAAGCAGATAAACCATAAATATACATACAATACAAGAAAGGGAGTGACCAACAATGGAGCTCAAAGTCAAAAAAAAGCTCTGGAATTCACCCTAATGGCTTGCCGTCGAACAACACGAGCTCCTCTGCCATAGCCGTGCCACCATCTCTCGCAACCGAGACCCAAGTTTCTGCAATCTTCTCCACTCTACCCTCCACGATTTCGACTAAAGTAAAGGCTCGCAGCGTGCCTTCGCTTTCCTGGGTAGCTCGTGGTTCACGGTTCACAGGTTTCACTCTAGGCACGATGGCACCGTTCAGGTAGATAGTGTCGTCGTGACCAACTACGATCATCTTTCGAAGACCAGCGCGATATGCCAGCTGTTTGTGCATGTGACCGAAGACAATCAAAGGGATGTGTAAGTTCGAGGAATCTTTTAGGCGTGACAGGGCTTGTGCTAGATCTGCAGCAGGATAAGAAAGGAGTGTTTTTAAGCGGGACCAGACCACACCATGTTCAGTTGCCCACCCTTGAAGTCACTGGGCAAAAGTTGTAGCCTTTACAGTTGGTTCAATAAACTAACATACAGTACAGACTAGAGAGTATGTACCTGGATCACCATGGTCACCACCACCAACTGACCAATCTTTCCCACAAATGTCGTTTAGATTAGAGCCGAGACCTGGAAACTCAAGAAAGATTGCACACCTTGGTTAACACAGAAGCAGGGCTCAAGATTATGGAGGATATGAATGAATGATCCCAGCTAGATGAATCACCTGTGGGTCCATTATGTGCGAGAAGAATAACCAAATTGTCTTCTGGAGTACCCAAAGCAACGTTGTATATTCTCCTGGCACTTCCTTCCATGTCTTGGACGCCATATCTGCAACCAGTTAGATGAATCATACCAGCGTTTAAATATGCCACAAGTCAAGAAAATGAAGGGAATGGAGAGAGCGAAACTCCTTGGTTAGGACCTTGCAGTCAAGAGCTTTTTCCGGTACAGATAATCACCGCCACAAGAAAATGGACGTCCACCAACGACACTGATCTTCAGTTCTGAAAAATCCAGACGACTGTACCCTACATGCTCATCACCGAGACTGATTGCGACAAAGGGAAGGTACAGAAAGGTCAATTACCCGCTGATAGACAGAACAAAGTTAAAGCAATTGAAAATGCTCATCAAGGGAAGGTAGCACCATAGATAACAAGCTGAGCTCACCTTTCCAGTTGAAGTTGGATGCGATCTTTTTTCCTGACAAACGGAAGGGAAAAGGAGAGCAAATCAAACTAATATGAAGCACAAGATTGCCGGCTGCGGCTTTACTATTACACCAGCTAAACTTACTTTAAAGAGAACTGCGGCTTTACTATTACACCAGCTAAACTTACTTTGTAGAGAACTGTTGGGTAGTCCAGGAATCATGATTCCCCAATATAGCTGCTTTGGGGAACTGAAGATCTGCGATACTCTGCACGAGTTCAACGTTCTCATTCCCAAAATCACCTGGTTGTAGAGTCCAAGGAAAAAAAAAAGGAAAAAAAAATCAAAGAGACCAAAAATCCACAGATTGTTTGTTTTATAGAAATCTTCCAAACTAGTTTCACACAAATTGTTACAGATTCCAACTAAGGTAAGTGAGATACATTTGACCTATCTGGGCAATGAGGGAAAAGATAGCTTGCCTGTGAACAGGACCAGATCCGGCTGCACTGCGATGCAAACTGAGGTATTAGATCCGAAATTCGTGATTCAAGTAACAAGATCACGAGAAAACCTGGTGATCAGAACAGCAACCTGGATGCTACTATAGATTCTATCAAAGTTCGAGAAATTCTAGCCATGTAGCTCAGAAAACAATACATCATCTAATCCACATTCAAACTATAGCTAGATTCAAATAGGCTTCAGCAAAGTTCCATACCCACATAAAACAATCAACCAGCGGGATAGTGGATGAGAAGTAAGGTTCTATTTCCTACACGTAACCCCAATTTACTTAACCTAATCCTCTACTCGGAAGCTCGTCCTCCATTTCAGTAAACCAGAAGCTTACAGACACAGAGACATAGACCAAAGTTGGAAACTTTTGTGGACAAGATAGAAAGATAGGAATCACCCGTAAGAGCTGAAGAGCCTTCGTGTCTTCCTCTAGATTCCATTGATCATGCTTCACGAAAATGAATGAGCCCACCAGATACGAACACACGCAAAATCAAAATTAGGGTTTCGAGAAACCGAGAAGCAAGTGAAGTAGAAATTAGTTTCGAAGAGATTGGTAGAACCAAACCCACCACGTCTCCGACGACGGCGATTCTCGCGGAGGCAGCCATGGAAGAGCAAGCGGCGGCCGGAGCAGCGGTGACGGGGGCGGAAGATGACGTAGGGGAGGACGGAGAGACGCGAGTGGCGGCGAGGTGGGAGAGTGTTGCCGCGTGGAGAAACGCGCTTGAGCTCATCCTAAACGTTTTTCTCGTTGGGGAATTTCGCGCGCATTCATAACAGCAAGAATGTTCGTTATACGAGTTTAGAATTTCGTGTTACGCCCGCCGTTGAAAGAGCATTGACGGAAAGCCGCCAACAATAATTTCATCATATATATGACCGGCGTTTGCTTCATTCTAAAACAATTTTAAAACCACTTCATTTTGACTAGAGTTCATAAGTCGATTACACTGGTCATACTAATAGTATTCATGAAAATTTAATTTTAAATCGTTCCAAAGTGGATCTATAAATTACACTAAATCGTGATTAGATCTCAAATAAAATTGCATTGCTGAATAGAGTCTGGATCTCCAACAAGACCATTTTCATGTTCCCTCCTGTAATATGAAGCCAAATTTGGAGCCGGACAAAATATGGTGTCAATGATTGTCCATTTTTGTGTAACGGTAGGGGGTGTGTAACAGCCTTGTCCGGTATGGACTGAACTAAACTAGGAAAATCACGGTTTAATAGTAAAAGAAATTTTAAGAACCAAAAATCAAGCAATCATTGCAGACAATCCAATTAGGTGCGGTCTAAAAATCAATTCAGTCACTGTTTACTTTAGTATTCATAAAATTCACGAACCGAACTACATTATAATATTTATATTCAATTCGTGTCCATACGTCAATTTGGTTTGGTGCAGTCTCATAAGAACAAAACCGTTGTACACCCCCTATGTATCACTTATGAGAGTTATGAGAGTATAACGATATGAAGTATGAGCACACCATTTATTGTATCATCACCTTTTTCTATTTTAAAAAAAATGTGCAAGCATTACTGTCGCAAAATTAAGCAATAAAACGGACGACAAAGTCACCAATCAAGTCGTCCAAAAGTTAGTGGCAACGTTAGGGTAGGAATCACATACAAAATGAGTGCCAAAGTCTAACAGGTGATCCTTCTGGGCTAAATAGTTGGATAAAATAAAAACAGGTATCCCTATAGATGTGTTGAAGTCGCGCACCTCCCACGATCATCGCTGTAGTTCCGAAAATCTAGGCTAATGCTAGCATGTAGGTGATAGTTGGTGTATCCGCCGAGAGTAAGTGAACGGTCGTAATAGAGTCTAGCTAAACCTCGACTATCCTGTATTCGACGTCTCGTGCGAGTGATTGTACATCTTCTTAGATTCACCGAGAATGCCCCTAATAAGTGACCATGTGCCTGTCTCTAAAGCATCCTCCTGCAGAGACAACAGACGAGAATTCCACTCACCTGTGTCTATTGCATCATCACTGATCAATGTCATGAGACCAAAATCAGATTCCTAAGAACTTAGGCTAAAAGTCAAAGTCTACGGTCTCAAAGACTAAGTGTCGGTTCGTACACTGCATTTGGAAGCCCAATTCATGTCCCACTATCACCATCAGTGTAAAAGCTCCTCTCTATTTGAAAGAATCTCTCGTCATTTTCCATCTCAAGGCGTCCTCTGTTTCCTCTGCTTTTCCTCTGTTTTTCCCCTGCTTTGTCTTCCTTCAAAGAAATGGCGCCTTCCAGGCTACCTACCGTTTCCCTCTCCGCCGCCGCGCTGCTGGTTCTACTCCTCCTCCGGCCCGCCGCTGCTCAAGCACCCACCGTCGTCAGAGCCGGCTACTGGTTCCCGGAAAGTGGGTTTGCCGCCTCCGCCATCAACTCCACGCTTTTCACTCACCTGTACTGTAGGTTCGCCGGAGTTATTTCGGGGAACTTCGGGGTCGTTGTCTCCTCCGCGTACGAGCCGGAATTCTCTAGTTTTACCCGGACGGTACAGCGGCGAAACCCGTCGGTGAGAACCCTTTTCACCATTGGCGGCGGGGACGCCAACACCACGACCTTGGCTGCCATGGCCAGTCAACCGGGTAGGAGGAAGGCGTTCATCGATACCTCCACAAGCCTTGGTGAGTATTCAAGTAAAAGGAGATGAATTTTCTTGAATACTGCTTTGGATATTGTGTTGATATTGCTTATTTAGTGACGATTGAAAGTGAAAACAGTCGCGGATACGTAGAGGTTTACGGGGTGTTACGAGACACCACTAAAATTTGGGAAAATGGTTATCCAATCTTCGATAGTAGTTTGTGTATTGGTGAAAAAAAATATTTAAGCGGTAACGAGACACCCTTAAAATTTGGTAAAATGATTATCCAACTTCTTGTAATAGTTTGCATATGAGTACAATAATATTTAAGTTGTAGTCTATGTGAATTGAACTTGGGACACGGGTATTACTAATAAACATATTTTCAATTATACTAGAACTTATTTGTTGTTCTGTTTTAAATCCAAATATAATAATATTCTCATCTCCAATTATTTTAAAACTTTAATGATTTAGTTTAGTAGGATATGTCGAGAGAAATTTGTTGAGCAGTGTATATATCAAATGTGTTTTAGCATTTTTTTCATAATACGAAACATGTTTGAAGTCTTATTGTAACTTTTACTATTCGAATATTTTCATATTTGATAATTATTCAATTTTTTAATAGTTAATTAAATTTATTTTTTAGAGAGAACATCCTATGTAAAATTTTTGAATCCTCCATTAAGTGAAACTGGCTCCCTCCTACCCGTAGAATAACTAACACAATCGTGTTAGTAAATCAGTGTGTCTTATTTCGTTTCTCGTTTTCGTTTTCTTGATCTTCCGATTGCCTGATCAGTAGAAACAAACATTTGACAACAACATTTCAACTTGATCAAAGTTTTAAATTCTTTTTTACAGCAAGATCATACAATTTCCATGGCCTCGATTTCATATGGCAGTACCCTTCGGACCCAACCCAGATGGCCAACTTCGGAGCCCTCCTCACGGAATGGCGAGCCGCGGTGGCGGCGGAGGCCAGGAGCTCCGGCAACCCTCCTCTGCTTTTGTCCGCCGCCGTCCTCTACTTATCCTACTACTTCTCCCCCTCCGTCCAATACCCTGTCCAGACAATATCTGACACTGTGGACTGGATCAACCTTATCGCCTACGACTTCTACGGCCCCAGATGGTCGCCGAACACCACCGACGCGCCGGCGGCGCTGTACAATCCCGGCCGCAGCGAGAGCGGCGACGAAGGGGTGAACTCCTGGATCGAATACGGATTTCCCGCCAACAAAATCGTCTTCGGAATTCCGTTCTACGGCTGGTCGTGGCAACTCGCCGACGCCAGGAACCAGGGGCTTTACTCGCCGGCGAGTGGGGAGAGCGAATTGTTCAATTCGACGGCTGGGTATGCAGGGTACGATCAGATTAATTCGTTTATTGCGCAGAACAGGGCGACCAAAGTGTTCAATTCGACGGTGGTTTCGGACTTTTGTTACAGCGGGACGACGTGGATTGGATACGACGACGTTCGGAGCGTTTCGACGAAGGTCGCTTATGCTAACAACAAAGGGTTGCTTGGCTACTACGCTTGGCATGTTGGTGCTGATGATAATTGGACTCTTTCTACCACAGGTTTGCAAAAATGTTTTCAAGAATCCATATGTTTGGGGTGCATCTAACTATTGAAGATCATAACTAATGAATAAGTATGATATACAGCTTTAACTACTCATATATTAACGACTCGAGGAGACATGACGAATAAGAGATCAAAGAGGTTGTTGTTATATGTTCTCTTGCCCGTTATCCTAGGGCTAGCATTTGTCTTTGGGATGGTACTGTTTTACGTGCGGCAACGACGTCGTTTGAGAAGGTCATCAGAACGCTCATCAAAAAGTAATTACGATGATCTATTAAGTGATTTTTTTCTAAAATTAGTATATTATATCTACGTTTTTATTTTATTTTATTACTAACATGGTCTGGTTGACTTATATAATTTTGCAGGAAAGGGAGGAAGGGATGCAGAAGCATTTTTCGCGGGCAAAATGGGAGATAAGAACCCTAAAATGTCGGCGGTTCGATATAGCATCACACAACTTGAGATAGCTACCAATGATTTCTCCATTGAGAACAAGGTCGGACAAGGTGGATATGGCCCTGTTTATAAGGTACACACATACACACACCTTGCTCTAAATTATGCATGTGATCATTTCCAAATATCCGCTAAAACCTGTTTATGCAGGGAGTGTTGGCCGACGGAAGGGAAATAGCGGTGAAGAAGTTGTCGAGAAACTCGACCCAAGGAGACGAGGAGTTCAAGAATGAAGTAATGCTCACAACACAACTACAACATGTCAACTTGGTCAGGGTTATAGGGTACTGTATCGACGGAGGAGAGCGGATGTTGGTCTATGAATACTTGCCCAACAACAGTTTGGATCATTACCTCTTCGGTCAGTATTATCATATACTCTATCCATCAAATTAATGATTGGATGATGAAGACAAATGTTAACTCTAATTCCCCCCCAAACCGATGAATGATGATTAAGCTACATCTCTTCATTTATCAGATCCAGTGAGGAGCTTATTGTTGGATTGGGCAAAAAGAGTGGAAATCATTGAAGGAGTTACTCAAGGCCTTTTATACCTTCAAGAGTATTCCGGCCAGTCAATTGTTCATCGTGACCTCAAACCGGGAAACATTTTGTTGGATTCTAACATGAAGCCTAAGATATCTGATTTTGGGTTGGCTAGGATTTTGACGACAGATTCATCAGAAGCTAACACTGAGCGAATTGCTGGCACAAGGTGATCTAATAATCTCTAAGATTAACGATGAAGCTAATTTACTAGTACACTTTACTCAATCCTGTTGTTTCTGTAGAGCTTACTGCCCACGAGAGTATCTGCAGAATGGCGTGTACTCCAAGAAATCTGACGTTTACAGCTTCGGGATCCTTCTTCTGCAGATCATAAGCAGCAAGAAATGTGGTTCCCAGTACGGTCCTGATGGAGATCTGGAGCTTCATGTCTATGTAAGATCCAAATCATAAGTCACTTTAAAAGTATTGGAAGACAACTCTGTAACTTTCGTTTCTTGCTTGATTGGTGGCGCAGGCATATGATCTGTGGAAAGAAGGTAGAGAGATGGAGATCATGGATCCTTCACTAGACGACTCGAATTCTACTTGCAAGTTGGTGAACTGCTTGAGAATAGCTATGCTCTGCATCCAGAGGAAACCAATGGATAGGCTGAGTATGCAGAAGGTTTCGTCGATGCTCAGAGATTTCTACAACATCGATAATGCAGAAGATAGGAACATTGAGATCAAAGACGTAAGGTTCTTCAGTGACGCTGTCATTGACGTAGTACAATTACTTGAGCCCCCTGCCAATTGCTCGACGAATAAAGTTACGGTTACAGAGCTACATGCCAGAACATGATCACAGAAAATTGTATGTTCCATAATGTGCAATGCATTAATTAAAATTTTGAAGTCGCCATCTAGTAGAAATCAAAACATTCTAACACTATAATTTTGTATCCACCAATGAAATGACAAAGGCCCAACCCCGATGATGCTTGAATAGACCAAATAACTCAGAAAATTGACAATAAATATATCAATGAAGCATATGAGAAAATTGATAGAGAGATTATGCTATTCTCCTTTTCCCCTTTCTCTCTCTAGTTCAAATTTCCCTGCTCTCTCAATTTTTTCAATCTCCCAGGGCTGCCGCCGGCACATCTTGGTGACCGGCGGTAGCCCAATCCTCCTTTTCATTTTCGCTTTCCTTTCCTGCTCTCCGTCCTCTTCCTCTGTGTTTTCATGTCTTTCCTTGCCATCTATGGCATTTTGCAGCCGTTGTGGCTTTTTCCGTTCCCGAAGTGGTTCTATCCACATTCCTCTCGTTAGGAGGAGGAGTTGTCCGGTTTCTTCACTAGATCTTCTAGATCTGGTTTGGCCCTGCTCTGTTCTGGGTTCAGAGGATGCAGATTGGGTTTCTATCCAAGCTTGGTGTGGTCATCTTCTCCTCCTTTGGGGTGATTGCATTCACCGATTCCCCATCCGTCGTCGCTCCTCGATGCTTCGACTGACTGTGGGGGAAGCGGTGTCTCCTTCGATTGCTGAGGCGGGTGATCTTTGGTTGCAGATGTTATGAGATTCATGCAGGGTTTCGTCTGTTCCTCTTTTTGTTTGTTGTTGGGAGTGTTGTTGGGGCTGCTTCTTTGGGTTCTGGGATTGGGTTTGTGTTGGGGTTCTCTGTTGGTGTTTGGTTTTGCAGGTGGTTTCTGTTCTCGGTTCTGCTTGTGTGTGGTTGTCTTTCAACCCTTGGGTGAGTCTCACACTTCTGTTTCTTGGCTCTCTTCGTCCCGGTCCCGTTGGCCTTGTTTTCAGCTCTGAGCAGCCCGTTCACAGTCCTTTCCACCGCCGTGCAATCCCTATTCGGCGATTCACTGTGATGGGTGTCTTTGAACAACCCCCAGCAGGCGGCATATGAATTAGCAATGCCCTTTTTCATGGTCAAGACTGGTTTGGGTGAGCTGAAGCTGCTGTGTTCCACTCTGGTTGATGTGATTACAAAGTTTTGATGATTCTTGTGTTTTGGCTCATGGAAGGATCCCTTGTTGTTTCTGTTCTGGTTGTGTTTTCGCGACTGTGTTCTCTGGATGTTTGATGTTCTCTTCTGGTTGGTTTGGGTTTCCTTTCTTGTTTGGGGTCTTTTCTTGAAGCTGGATTTCAGGGGTTTTCCTTTTCTTTGTAACCGTGTTCTTTCCAAGTGAAATACAAGCAACATCTTTGTAAAAAAAAAAGCATATGAGAAAACTCAGAGCATGCTAGAAACACCGACAAAAACATCACAAAATGTAAATTAGAAACTACATATAGTAGATAAATAAAATATAGAAAACACCCCACAAAATTGACCACAACTTTCCTAAAGTAGACTACAAAATTCATAAAATTGATCACAACTCTCATGAACCATACCAAAAAGACAAGAAACCATACCAAAAGAGAAATTTTACAATGTTATATAGTATTGGTGCTATAGATTTTTGCCTTTATGGTACAACTTAAAATTGTACATTTACGTTATGGTACAACTTCAGATTGTACCTATACTTTTTGTACAAATTCTTTTATGGTACAACTTGAACTTGTACCTTTATGTGATGGTACAACTCCAAGTTGTACAGTTGTACCATAACATAATGGTACAAATTACTTTATGGTACAACCTAAACTTATACATTTAATGTTATGGTACAACTTTGAGTTGTACATTAAAGCACCAATGCTATATAACATAGTAGAAGTGCTCATACCAAAAACCTCACCAGTATAACGAGAAACACTATAAAGTACATCTTTGCCCAAATCTATTTTGTGGACGAGATAAAAGATAAGGACAAACATGTAAGAATTGAAGTGCCTTCGTATCTTCCTCTAAATTCCAATGATCATGCTTCTCGAAAATGAATGAGCCCAAATACAACCACACGCAAAATAAAAATTAGGGTCTCGGAAAATGGAGAAGCAAGTGAAGTAGAGATTAGTTGTTAAGAAATTGGAGAACCAAACTCACCATGTCTCCGACGATGTGGATTCTCGCGGAAGCGGCCATGGAAGAGCAAGCGGCGGCCGGAACAGCAGCGGCGGCCGGAACAGCAGCGGCGGAAGAGGACATAGGGGAGGAGGGAGATTGGGAGAGACGCGAGTGGCAGTTGAAAGATATTCGTTAATATATCGTTATACGTATTTGTTGTTACGTTAGCCTTTGAAAGAATAGTGACTATGCTTATAGAATCTCTTTTAGATATTAAGTCGAACGATAGAAAAATAAAATGAGCGTGTTGAGTTGATATTTTTGTTCGGTTTTAGGACATGAGTTCGCAAAGTGGGTGATGAGGACATCAATGGGCCAGTCACACGTGCTAAGGCAAGGACGTTGAAGGAGAAGCTTGCGACATATTTGGAGAGCTACTTTGGAGCCATGGACGTGGAGCTATTTCGTGGGAAGCCATATATGATGATTCGAGTGGAGGAAGAAGGAGGAAGTGCTAAAGAGAAGGCAGATTGCAAGAAGCAGCCTTAACGGGACCAGCCTTAACGGGTTTACTTAACGGGTCTAGGCTTAACGGTTTGGGCTTAATGGGTTTGCTGGGCTATTTTCGAGTTTTCATGTTTTAAAGTCGGTTTATGATTGTTTTTCCATGTTGAAGTCGGATTTGGGTTGTACTTTGCCTATTTAAAGGGTTGAACACGTTGGTTTGCCCTTAGACGATTATTATTGAATTTCAGAGGCTATTGCCGAGTTCCCTATGCAGAATTTGCCCTAATTACTCTGTCGAGAATCTCCAGAGTGCTAGTGCGACTCTTATCAGCTAGGTATTCACCCTAGTTGTGGCGAGCTACCCATATCGATTGCCCTTTATTCCGAGTTGAATATGTCTGATCGATTCATATATCGATTGCCCTTATTCACGGGTGAGTACCGTCCGATCGATTTCCATCCTATCCGGTTCTATTTGGTTCGAGAAGCTTGACCCTGCGCTACTTTGATTATATCAAGTGGTATCAGAGCTAAGGTTCAAATCAGTGGCGTGTTCTTGAAGTTTTTTTTGAAGATCTTGTGCGTTCTTGTTCGTGTTCTTGGTGGTTTTGTGCGAGTTCTTGAAGGTCTTGGCGTGTTCTTGATCCGCAAGACAGGAGGTTGTTTGTTCTTGGGAGTTCTTGGTGTTTCTTGCGAGGCAAGAAGCAGGTTGTGCGAGTTCTTGTTAAGTTCTTGTGTTCTTGGAGTTTTCTTGCATTGCAAACATGGAAGCAACACTCGAAGCAATCAGATATCAATTGGAGAACATTGCTCGTGCTCAAGAAGAGCAAACAACAAGGCTTGCCGAGCAAGCCACGAGGATGGAGGCTGTCGAGACAAGGCTCTAGCAGCCGGTTGTGGTCGATGCAAACCCTAACCCTAGACCTCGACAAGAAGAAAGGGGAAGGGAAAACCGAGCTCCTCCACCCTTGGTTCACGAAGTACAACATCATATGCGCCAACATAGATGCCTTGGGATGCCTCGAGCTGAAAGGAGAGGGCGGCAACAACATCATGAAGAGGAGTTTAATGACGAGGAATAAGAGGGATTTAGGGAGGATGATGATTTTCGAAACCTCAAGGTAACGATTCCACCTTTCGCGGTACCACGAACCCAGATGCTTATTTGGATTGGGAGAGAAAGATAGAACTAGTGTTTGATTGTCATAACTACTCCGAGAAGAAGAAAGTGACATTGGCTTCCCTAGAGTTCTCGGATTATGCACTTGTTTGGTGGGATCAGTTGGGAACAAAACGAAGGAGAAACAGGCAGCGTCCTATTGAGACGTGGAGAATCTATGTGCGAGGTGTGTGGAGTGCAAGCAGACCAAGTCGAAGGTGCAATCATCTGGATTGTACACACCGCTACCGATTCCATATGCTCCATGGATCGACATCTCTATGGATTTTGTGCTTGGGTTGCCGCGGACAAGGAAGGGAAGAGATTCGATTTTTTTGGTGGTGGATCGATTCTCGAAGATGGCACACTTTATCCTGTGTCATAAGATGGATGATGCTATTAACGTGGCTGATTTGTTTTTCATGGAAGTGGTGCAATTACGTGGGATGCCGCGTTCTATAGTATCCGATCGAGATACTAAGTTTCTGAGTTCCTTTTGGAAGACGTTGTGGAGAAATTGCGGACAAAGCTGTTGTTCTCTACCACATGTCATCCTCAAACCGATGGGCAAACAGAGGCTGTCAATCGAACTCTGTCCCAAATGCTGCGAGCTGTGATCAGGAGCAACATCAAGGTTTGGGAGGAATGTCTTCCCCACGTGGAGTTTTCTTACAACAGGATGGTGCACTCGACGACGAAGTTCACTCCGTTTGAGCTCGTGTATGGTTTCAATCCACTCACTCCTTTAGATTTGATGCCATTACCTTTGAATGAGCAGGTCAATCTCGATGGAGCCAAGAAAGCTGAGTTCGTGAAGAGTTTACATGAGAAGGCGAGATTGAACATTGAGAGAAGGACGGAGCAGATCATGCGCAATGTGAACAAAAACAGGAAACCGAGGCACTTTGAAGTTGGCGACTGGGTGTGGGTGCATTTGAGGAAGGAGAGGTTTCCCCAGCAGAGGAAATCAAAATTGATGCCCCGATGTGATGGTCCTTTCCAGGGGGTTTCGAAGATTGGAAGCAACGCCTACAAGATCGACTTGTCGGGAGAATATGGAGTAAGTGCAACGTTTAATGTTTCTGACCTTGCACCTTATTTGGATGGCAATTTGGATTTGAGGGCAAATCATTTTGAAGAAGGAGGGGCTGATGAGGACATCAATGGGCCAGTCACACGTGCTAAGGCAAGGACGTTGAAGGAGAAGCTTGCGACATATTTGGAGAGCTACTTTGGAGCCATGGACGTGGAGCTATTTCGAGGGAAGCCATATGTGATGATTCGAGTGGAGGAAGAAGGAGGAAGTGCTGAAGAGAAGGCAAATTGCAAGAAGCAGTCTTAACGGGTTTGCTTAACGGGTCCAGCCTTAACGGGTCCAGGCTTAACGGTTTGGGCTTAACGGGTTTGCTGGGCTATTTCCAAGTTTTCATGTTTTAAAGTCGGTTTATGATTGTTTTTCCATGTTGAAGTCGGATTTGGGTTGTACTTTGCCGATTAAAAGGGCTGAACACGTTGGTTTGCCCTTAGACGATTATTATTGAATTTCAGAGGCTATTGCCGAGTTCCCTACGCGGAATTTGCCCTAATTTCTCTGTCGAGAATCTCCAGAGTGCTAGTGCGACTTTTATCAGCTAGGTATTCACCCTAGTTGTGGCGAGCTACCCATATCGATTGCCCTTTATTCCGAGTTGAATCTGTCTGATCGATTCATATATCGATTGCCCTTATTCACGAGTGAGTACTGTCCGATCGATTTCCATCCTATCCGGTTCTATTTGGTTCGAGAAGGTTGACCGTGCGCTACTTTGATTATATCAGTGGGAACGGGAGTAATAGTACAAGGTGTTATATGTTAAATTTTTTTCCAAGAATAAGAGTGTCTGCAAAGCACCTAATGCTAAAAAAATAAACATAATACTATCTGTAAAAACCAAAGCATAAGAAATAAGTTCATTGTATAAACATGCAAGTTTCGACAAAGGCAAGAGAATAGGAAAAATAAAATCAAAAGTAATGGGTTGATTGCAAAGATGGTCACTGATAGTGATATTACAAAAAAGTGTTCATGTTTGGTCACTACAAATATTTAATTTCATTTGTGGTCACTAAGATTAGTTAAATATTTCAAGTTCGGTCACTCACCGTCCAACTCCATTAACTTTTGTTTATGTGACAGTCAACTCTTATAGTTGACCGTTAAATATGTGACATGGCAATTAAAAATTAATCAAATAAAAAAATTTAATGTGTATAATTTTTTACCTCATTTCCAACCATTAAAAAAATAATCTTTTTGTAATCCAACAAACCCTAGCAATCCTCCCTGCATTTCCCCACCGCCGCCTCTCAATCTCTCTTCTCGCCGCCGCGTGCACTAGCTGGTGAAGAGTGAGCGAGCAATCGAGGTTGTTGCATGCCGTGATCGTCAAAATCGCGAGGGGCGACTGAAGCGGTGGCAGGACGGCTGAAGCAGAGACAACAAATTTTGCGGTGGAGGAGAGTCCAAATCCTTCGTTGAAGCAGAGGACAACGAAGATGTAGGAGACGGGGTCGAGATCAGGGTATTGAGGTCGAGGCGACGTGGTTG